ACACACACACACACACACACACACACACACACACACACACACACACATACATATATATTCTTGTAACAACTGTAGCAACATTTTTTTATTACCAATCCTATATTTTGATTTTGGTTGATCACCTCAAAACCCTCCAATACTTTGTCTTTCACCCACAAATTGCTTATAAATCCAGACCCAAGTCCAACTTTTGATTTCCATCTTTGCAGCCATTCCACTCACATTTAAATCTGGCCTGAAGAACCAAGAGGCCCCTGAAGGAGGCAAAGTGTGTCTGCGCTGTGAGCTGTCCAGAGCCGGGGTGCCCGTGGAGTGGTGGAAGGGGGAGGACCAGCTCTACCACGGAGGACGAATCCAGATGGCACTGAAAGGGAAGGTAGCCGAGATGACCATCAGGAACATACAGCCAGAGGATGTTGGAGAATACAGCTGCATGTTTGGAGGACAGAAAACAACAGCTGAAGTTAATGTGAAAGGTACTAAAACATTCTTAGATTTACTTTTAAAACCTGCTGTCTGTGCGTCGATGTCCTGTTTACATCCGTTCATAAAACATGTGCTGAACGTCTGAGACGTCTATATCACAATCATTTCCATGGATAATATTAATTTTATATAAATTAGCGAGGTGGCATGCATCTGTCTAATACATAGGTAAATGTATATTTGGTGACATAATTCCTCCTTTTTCTGTTTAAACCAGCGGCAGCGTCTGTATTTTTTGAGAAGGAACTGCAGAACCAAGCGGTGATGGAGGGGAAGTCTGTGCTGATGTCTTGTGAAGTTTCCAGTCCGAACGTTCCCGTCGCTTGGAAGAAAGACAACGGGGCGGTGGAAGAAGGTGGGCGTTTTGTTGTAAAGAAAAACGGTCCCGTGCACACCCTGGAGATTAAAAAGCTGCAGCTGGAGGATTCTGGAGAGTACAGCTGTATCACCAGAGGCAAGAAGACCACAGCGAGGCTGATTGTGAGGGGTATGTGTAAATTGGTAGAATTTTGTGTTTACTCGAGTTTTAGATTTTCATTCAAAAATGTGGAGGTTCTCATTCTGGTAGAAATATGCATTTCTCCACACTTTTCCCTCAGAGCGTGTTCGGATTGTTAAAGAGCTGCAGGACATCAAGGTGACGGCAGGAGAGGATGCTGTGTTTGTGTGTGAGCTAAGCCATTCAGATGTGGCAGAGGGCGTCTGGTGGCTCGCTTCAAGCCCCCTGCAGAAGAACGAGATGAACCAGATGACATACCAAGGCCGACAGCAGCGCCTTGTCCTGAAAATGACGACAACCGAAGAAACGGGCACTGTGGAATTTATAATTGGGGAGGAGAGGGCTTCCGCTCATCTGCTAGTTGTTCCTAAGCCTAAAGGTGAGTTCACAAAATGTTGAGTGTGCCTTTTTAAAATAACTATAATATATGTGAACTACCAGGTAAAATTAATGATTTAAATTTTAGTTTTATTCGAGGAAAAGCCCAAAGACAACGTGGTCGTAGAAGGACAGACGGCTACTTTGTCTTGCACCACGTCCGACTCCTCCACAATGGTTACCTGGAGACGCAATCACATCCCTCTTCGAAAAAGTGATAAATATGAGTTGCACAAGCAGGGCAAAGTCAACCTGCTGCTCATCCATGATGTGGAGCCTCAAGATGCCGGCATATACTCTTGTGATACAGGAGATGTACAGAGCAGTGCCAAGCTCACTGTAACAGGTGATTATACTGAGATGGTCCACTTTTCTTCCATCATTATTCCACCAGTTTTGTGCTATTTCAACATTTCATATATCAAACGTTCAGCTCATTAATGCCATTGGTGCTATGACTTTCAGTATTTCAGCAACTTATACTTTTTCAGCTATTTAGCTTTTTTGGCCATGGTGAAAATGAATGGAGCTGTTTTTAGCATCTTTAAACCCCTTCAACATGCTTAGAAATCTTTACTGGGATTTTAAGTTTTTACTCAGGTTCTGCTTTTTTGGGCTAATTTCAGCTTCCTTTGGCTTCTTTTATTTATTTATTTTGCTAATTTTAGCTTTTATACCCATTATTCTACTTATTAGCTGATTCCAACTAGTTTTAGCTTTTTACTGCATAATATTATGCTCTTTCTTTGTGCAAATTCAAACATTTCGAGCTACGTTTGAGCTTTTTTAGACATTTTTTCCCAGATTGCAACATTTACTAATGTGAGTTTTTTACTGTCCTTTTAMCATCTGTCTGCTAAATCCAACTCTTTTCTGCTTTTCAACCACGTTTTTGCTCTGTTCAACTTTCTTGACACGTTTTGTCTTTTTCTCTTTTTTCCCCTACTTTYAGCAAATGTCAGCTGTTCAAATTATACTCATGACAACAGTTTTGGTTGTGAACATTTTCAGCTTCTTCAGCAGTTTTCRGCAGATAATTTCAGTAATAAGCATTCACACTATTTTTGCAGGAAATGCAAATTCTCTAGTTAATTCTYGTTTTTGTTGACAGGATGCAGATATAATTTACACAACCCTTTCTCATGTCARGCAGAAAAGGTTTGCAGCTTACTGTCATCTTTTTTTTCCCCCAGAGCTCCCTGCATTCTTTCAGGAAGGGCTGCAGAGTGTGGAAGCAGAAGAAGGAGGTTCAGCGTCCTTCTACTGTGAGCTGTCGAAGCTCGGAGTGCCGATTCAGTGGAAGAGGGATGGGATGCCTATAAAAGCGAGCAGGAAGTATGAGATGAGGCAAGATGGATGCTTCCTCCAGCTTTACATCAAGGAGCTGASGCTTGAGGATACAGGCACCTACTATTGTCAAGCAGGAAGTGCAGAGACCACTGCCACCATGTCTGTGAAAGGTGTGTGAAATTAAACCCACGATCATCAAAAACTTCAGAGTCAGATAAAAGGAATGCATTTGATGAATTATGGTATTTGTCCTCCCAAACGTTCATTATAGAGATTCCCCCATTTTTCAAGAAAGAATTAAGAGGTGTAGAGGCTGAGGAGGGAGGTGTGGCCACCCTGCAGTGTGAACTGTCTAAATCGGGGGTGTCGGTTCAGTGGAAGAAGAACAGACTACCCCTTAGAGCAAGCAGAAAGTATGAAATGAAACAAGATGGCTGCCTCATCCAGCTTTTCATCAATGACCTCAAACCTGAAGACAGTGGCAGCTACACGTGTCTGGCAGGAAGCACAGAAACTATTGCACAGGTGTTAGTAAAAGGTGTGCCCACCAGATGAACTGAAAAATCAGCTATGTCATGAGAATTAGACTCATCAAACATGATTTCATATTAAAATCCAAACATTTCTGTTGCCAGAACTCCCACCATATTTCAAAAATGACCTCCAGAACGTAAAAGCTGTGGAGGGGGAAACGGCCTCGCTGTTCTGTCAAGTTTCCAAACCTGGAGTGTCCGTGCAGTGGAAGAAGAACAAACATCTTCTGAGAGCAAACAGGAAGTATGAGATGAAGCAGGACGGCTGCCTTGTTCAGCTTGATATCAAGGATCTTAAACAAGAGGACAGCGGCAGCTACACCTGTCAAACAGGAACTGCAGAGACCTCGGGAACTGTGTCAGTGAAAGGTTTGGGAATTTGGAAATTTGTATGAGTATCTATAAATATATTTGTTGATTTTAAATTATACATGTTTAGTACTCATGTTCGTCTGTAATATAATTTTATGTAGAACTCCCAGTATTCTTTATAAAAGAGTTACATCACATGGAGGCTGAGGAGGGAGGTACAATCTCCCTGTGCTGTGAGCTGTCCAAGCCTGGAGTGTCCGTGCAGTGGAAGAAGAATAGGACACCTCTGAGATCCAGCAGGAAGTATGAGATGAAGCAAGAAGGCTGCCTCCTACAGCTCAACATTAAAGATCTCAGTCTTGAGGACGGCGGCAGCTACACCTGCCAAACAGGAGGTGCAGAGACCACTGCAGCTGTTTCAGTGACAGGTTTGTGAATTTTAAACAATGGTAAATCTTAGTGTGTTTAAAAGGAAAACAAGCAGCCATGATGAAAAACATATTTTTATAAACATTATCATTATTATTATTTTCTTTTTAAATTATCACCTATTTCTGTAGAGCTCCCATCAATCTTTAAGGAGAATTTGAAAGATGTGGTGTTCGAGGAGGGAGGTACAGCCTCTCTGGTCTGTGAGGTATCTAAACCAGGTGTACCAGTACAATGGAGGAAGAACAGGCTCCCACTGAGAGCGAACAGGAAGTACGAGATGAAGC